CAATTATTTGTCAGTTTTTGGGTTTGGCATCAGGGATTGCACATGTTTGTTGAAAGAGGGAGAGAAGTGGAACAAGAAGGATGGCTTAACTTTTTGCATTATTATAAAGATTAGTATGTGGAATAATTGCCATGACGCACTAATTGAATATAGCATATGGGAGAGGTGACGTTACCATAACTTAGTATTAACACTTATACTTGGTGGAGTTATGATACTAAATGGAGTTTTTTTTTTTCCTCTTCTTTTTAATGAAGCTGGTTAAATCAATGAAATATAAATGTAAAGTAAAACTTAGTCACATTCTCTTTTTAATGGAACTGGTTAAATCAATGAAATATAAATATAAAGTAAAACTTAGTCACATTCTAACCATATTGGCGCCAAACAATGAACTTTCCTCCCAGTTCAGAAAAATTTACAGCTCCAAAAAGAGAAAACCGCCCCGGGAAAAGTATTGTCAAGCATCAATCTATGAAGTTCTCTTGTATCTACTACTCTTTTTATTCAGGAATATGTCTCGTTAAAATCTTATTAAAATCTTGTTTAGTTCAAAGATTCGTTCTTTGATTCGAATTATGATTCATAGTTCGTTACAGTATTTTCTCTCACAAAAATCACACGTAAATCGAAAATGGTTCTAATATCATGGTTCTAATCCATGAACTAAACGGGCTCTAAGTAAATCTTGAAGGAAAAAAAAATCTAGAGGAAGAAGAGTTTATAACCAATGAATACGGCTCATATATGAATACCTAACAACAATGCCTCTTATCTCTAAAAAAATTGAATCTTCAAGCTTCCTATTTTTAAACCTGTAAAACGACAAGCAGGCCGTGTTTTTCAAGTGTAGCTATAATTTATGTGCAGCAAAATTTTCCTTCATGTGAATATGAGCAACTCGTTAAGTTATGCTAAAAAGGAAGTGAATGGTCAAAATCAGCATAATGCAAAATATTCGTCACCGGATTATGACCAAGGTAGTATAGCAACGAAAAACGACCTATTAGGATTCCCTTTTCTATTATTTAGAATCGATTTTCATTGTTCATGAGGTTGTTATTATCTTTTATTGGCCGGTAAAATATGACTTGGCTTAATGTGATTTTCGACTCCTTAAATGCTAGTTTATGAGGTCAGTTGTGACAGTCATCAATCTCTTGAGGCACAAGGCCAAGAAAGGATAAGTTGTGCAGTCCCACATCGCCTGAGGATGAAGATAAGTCTTGGTTTATAAGGAATGACACCACCTCCCAATGGTATGAGGTTTTTTGGGGTGAAGCCCAAAAGCAAAACCATGCGGGCTCAAGCTTAAAGCGGACAATATCATACCAATTGGGAGAACGGGTCGTTACATTAGTATAAGCTAAATTCCTTTATGTTTCTTTATGTTCCACCTGTGATCCCAAATAAATTATTAAGTAACTATTGAATTGGGAGCGTGAAAACACCCTTGATTTTTTTCTATTAAAAAAAACCAATATATCATAAATGTATATTTGATATAATCACATATTACGTTTATGACATATTCAATGTGAATTATTGCATGAGATTAAGCTGTGTGTTGAATATTATAGATGATTTAACACTTTTTTGAGTCGGCATGGAGATTTGAAGTGGACCAAAACTGTACACACACTATAACAAAATAGTGAGAGTTGTTTTGAAATTGCAAAAGGCGATGGGACCTAGGAATGGTCTACCATTGTAACATCAAAAAGCTTTTGTGATTGGGGCTTGGCACACGTGCTATGGAGTTGGCAAATTGGATATGTACACCCATAAAAAAAAGCTTTTTAATAAGCCCTAAAATTAATGATAGGCTTAGGCCATGATGGAATCCAAACCAAGATTTGTCATTGCCTATACACAATCTCATCAAACCATGGCCCCTTCATCATGCCAAAATAATTTTTATCTAATTTATTTACAAGAGATTTTGCCCCCACTTATACAGTTATTGATCACAATCGTGCGATTTAAATTAAACGTTATGAAGCAAGTATAACCGTATCATCCAAAGAATTCTCTTACAACATTCAATTTCATACCCTCCTACTTATCTTAGTTAAATTGTACATTTGCAGTCAATAATCCTATTAAATACATGTAATAGAGTGCTCTATTATAAAAATTCCATTTACTTACCCAAGCAATTGCTTGGTCTTCGATTAGGAAATGTAGGGTTCTCTTTCTTTCTTTTTTCCCACTTTACTTTCTCAAATTTTGACTCTTTTCAACGCCAATGTCCCCTCTATAGCAATTTGGACAACAGGATCATATAATAATAATAATTATTATTATTATTATTTATTTTTTATTGGCCAAACTACAACAATTAAGGGAGAAAGAGGAAAATAGGTCAAGACTTAAGATGAATTAAAATTAATAGGCTAATAGTTTACATAAGTTAATAAATATGCTAAATTATTGTTTTCGTCCATAACTAGTCTGGTTATAAACCATAACTTAACAAGTTATTGTCCATAACTTGTCTGACTATGAACCATAACTTGACAAGTTTATCCATAACTTATCTAGTTATGAACCATAACTTGACAAGTTATGGCCTATTAATCTCTATAACTAAAAATTGGCCTATATACTTTCTTAAACTTTTCATATTGGCCTACTATTTCCCAACAATTAATTAGTACTTTGTGGATATCAATTATACACTTAGCCGAAAAGAGAACCATTGGTTCTTGGCTTTTAACCATCAAATCAATGTGAATACATGATTAGTTTGATTCACATTGATTAGTTTGATTCACATTGATTAGTTTGCTAATTGCATCCAAATCACATAGTTTTGACTAAATGAAGCATCTAAGCATCTTTTTTAAGTCTCTTTTAATCATAATCTAGCCTCTAATCTTTGAGTTCGTTAAACTTTAGTGCCGGCTTATGATGTTATGGTAAACCCATCTTTTCCCCACTTTTTTTTAAAAAAATTTTATTTTGGTTCATTTTCGCTAGTGGTTGTAACAAGTGATAAGGCAATAGTATTAATTAAGGTTCACTAATTTAAACTCTATCTTGGCTCTCTGCCTTTTGGCTTTTGGTTATAGATGCATATTATTACTTCAACTATAGTTTAAAAAATTGATCTTTGAATCCCCCCCTATCAATTTTGCTTTGTTTTCATTTAGTGGAGGAAATAGCCTTTTTCTTTTCCATAGTTTTTCTTATTACATATAAAACAAGCCTTTCCGAATACAATGCATTTCTTTGCCTAAGGGTCATATTGGAGGTCAATTCATTGTCCCCTAATCACAGTCTTGCTTTCCTAATCTTTCCTTGATTTCTGGATATCAGTTCTAGGACGGCCTTTTTCTATTATATAATTTTCATTTTACTTTTTTATACCCTCTCCATGAGTCATCAAAAAAAAAAAAAAAAAAAGAGAGAGAGAGAGAGAGAGAGAGAGAGATAGAGATAGAGAGATAATGGGTTTAACGTGGAGTAAGGATCATCAAGCTTATTAAGCATGTCCTTTTGCCTAATGCACAAAATTTATTAGCAATTCCTTCAAATATTTAAGGGTCAAAATTCTCCTGCTGATGCTTTATGCTCTTCATCATTAGAATTTTAAACCAATTTGGAAACATGGGGTTTGTAAGAACTGAGAACCTTGTTTTTTGTTTTTTTATTTTATTTTATTTATGATGATGAAATGAAATTGGTCTTGATGAACCCACTCACTTAAAATATTGGGTCAAATCAGGTGACTGATATGAACTAAACTGGGGCTAAATCATTTTTGTCTTTTGGGGAAGACTAATAATTTTAGCTAAATAATGTTACCCACCATTTAGTTGTCCCTTAAGACTAGACTAATCAAAGCTGGGAATACAAACTCAAAACCTCAACCTATAGCTATAGCCAAAGCCCCTGGGAATCATAGAATTCTAGTGCCATAGTTTCCCAGTTCAGTAATTTTTCACAATCCTCCACCCAATTTCACGCCAACATCAGAAACAGAATGTCCAAATTTTTGTTTATTAACAGCGGTCCTTCGACAGTGGGGTCTCTACCAGTAATGTTCATTTTTAACTATCCGATCTAATCAAAATCACGTCAAAATAAAAGAGTATACAGAACAGACAGTTTCTAACACCGTTTAATGGCTAAAAACAGACCTACTGATAGTTTATTTTTTTCTGAGTCCTACCATACTAATCTCATGTACACAACTAACTAGATAAGTATAGCAACAGTAGGGACAGACCAATGCATTAAATAAGGTTTTTAAGCGAAGGCCTTTAGCCCATCCAGTTCAACAAAACTCATCAAAGGTAAGATGATGATGATGAAATAGAAATACAAACGAAAGTGGGCAGGTGGTGTTGTGTTACATTTCCCAATATTAATTATGTGATGATCTCCATTGCCAGCAACAACAAATGGCTAGCTAGACTTTGAATTATTATTATGCTAAGTGGAGACACTGACCCATCAATGTTCAATATTGCTATGCATTTAGGAAGACTACCCCAATACTGGACCATTGACAACTAAGTTTCCCAATCTTCTTATTGGGATCAGATTATCACCACTCAGACATGTTAAAGTGTGTTGTTTTGTTGATTATGCCAATTGCCTCTTCTTTTTGTCCTACCATGATTTGTACTTTCCGCACAACACAGGATCGAACCTGCAACCTCCCTCTAATCCCATCCCACCCGAACCAAGCAGTCTTAGGCAACATGATCTGTACTTTTGGAACTGGCATGATATGAAAGAACTCCAAAATCATAAGCAATAATCTGCTAAAACTAATATTTTGTCAGAGATGTTCAATGAGTTGTATAGATAGATCAGAGAAACAAAATAGAAGAAGGAAGATTCTTACTCACACTATAAGGCTTTTGTTTCCAATATGGACTGAAGCTTGAATGAAAACCAGAACTGACCAGACTTATTTTTTAATCTCTCCTCAAAGTTCGGTTGCAAGTGATAAGAATCAGTTTAGTTTTCAACCATTTTCTTGTTGCCAACGAAAACGATGAAGTAAATGACTCCCCTACTTAGCGGAGACAATTTTTAGTCTTGTTATTAAATGAGGAAATTACATATAAGAGCATAGGAAGAATCCATCATCTTCACCATATTTTACAGACAATTATCCAATATTTTTGTTTCATTCACCTAAAACACTTTTGGCAGATAACAATGAATTGTTCTTTTGCACAAGGTCAAGGACTTAAAAGAGAAACACAGAAATCTGGATTGATTCAATATATCAGGGGCATCAACTCAGCAATTTGTTTTAGGCCTTCCCAAGTTACAACTACATCCGCAAAAATCTCAACTCGAGTGAGAAATATACATGGCCACAAACATAAACATATACGAGGTCAACGTCACCTCCCAAAACATTTCAGTACCGTGGAGGTTAGGGTAGATGAAAGAAATTTCAAACCCGCTGATCCGCCGGGGAAGTATGAAAACGCATAGTATGCAAGTGCAAGAACCTGAAAATCATGGAGAGAGCTATTTTAGTAAAAGAAAAGAACGATATACGACGAAGGGCATCCTCATCCAGAGGAAAAGAATAGAAGAAAAGAAGAACATGAAAAGGGTATACGATTGCATATGAGATACCTGTATTACAGAGAAGAGCACAGAGAGAATGTAGCTATGAAGCACCATGGAGACATAAATGGTACCGACCATGCTGCCTAAAAATCCCAATGTAAAAGGAAGTCTCTGGAGAAATTACAGAAAAGAAGAAAGCAAAATATTAAACTTGTTCAATCGTATTAGTTAGCTAAATTGTAAAAAAAACAGATGTATGTGTAGCAGAAGTACCTCTTTTGAAGACATGTGAGCGAGCTGATTCTTTGGGCCCTTAAGAGCAAAGAATGACCCAATAATAAAGCCACAACCAAGTGTAAAGCAGATAGCAAATTTCTGAGGCATAATGACCATGACAGGGAGGAACATGGTAAATGCAAGGAAGACAAAAAACACCCCAGTTGCCAGGAAAAGACCAAAGTACATGAGAGCTTTTCCCGACGGAACACTACTAGTGGCTGACTGCAAGTTTCCGGGTATGTCTCTTACCCCCTTAGAAACCCTAAGAAGGATTATAACAAATCACATAACTACATGAATGGTTACAGAAGACAAATAGCATTATAAGACAAAAAGCAACAGCACCCCTAATGCTTTTTTCATAGTAAGCAGACAACACCATTCAAATCAGGACCTTGTTACTTCTAACTCCCCGCATGCACATATGAGAGATTAAGTGATCATTACTGGTTCTTTCAATAGAACTTAAAAGTTAATATGGGATCCAAGTCGATAACTAAAAGATTACGTTACAAGTTAAACACAAAAATAATTTGCAGTACAACTTAAACACGAACACTGCAAAGTCAGCATTTCAAGAGAGAGTGAAACCAGGTGTTTCTGAGAACTATCAATATACGAAATATAGCTACTGGTATACCGCATGCATCGAGCAACAGAAACACATTCCCCCATCTATCACTTATGAATCATGCCCCATTTTGATCACATTATGAGCGAAAAAAAATAACATCTAATCTTCAACGAACATATTTCCCACCTTGTTGAATGGAGAAAAGAATTCATTTTTTACTATTCAGTTCATGAAATCACCAGGAAAAATGACCTCACACCAGACTGTATAAGCCTTCCGAACGTGGTATTGTTGCAATGTAAATCATTTTTTCCATCTAAATCATGTGGTTTTGTTATGTGAAAAGTAGTTTTCTTTGGTTTAAAAAGTGAAGCTGTTTACAATTGTGCAACTCCTTCAAGATCAACTCCCTAAAAGGAGGAAAGGAAGTTTGCTGACAACAAAATCAAATTGTGACGAAGAATTCCAAATCCTCAGCAACTCTGAGAACATCATATTCATAAATTCTTTACCAAAACGAATCGACATGGCTTTCTCCCAAATTTCATCAGCACCCATTTCAATCCCCCTAAAAAATTCTCTTATTTTTTCAAGCCAGATCGACCAACACAGAACTAGAAACTATTCGAGATCACCATATCAGAAACAATTGTTCACTGAGCTTAATTTGAAATATTTCCCCACTTGTTGAATCGAAAAAATGATTTATTCTTTTACCTTATAAAAGTATCATCTTGAAAATGATTGCACCAGATCACATAAAGTCTCTTCTCTAAAGTGATGTATTTGTTGGCGATCAAAATCAATTTTATTTTCTGCAGGCGTAGGTCATGTGTTTTGATACGTGAAAAGTGAGAAAACTAAAGAGTAAAGAGCTCTTGTACGCACAAAAAAGCCGAGTACAACAGTGCATGGCTTAAAACCTTCTAATCATTTTACGGAAAAAAAGGCCATTGCATTCACTTCATGAAACCTGAATGCTCGAGAACCCCCCTCCTTCCCCATACCAACTCCTCCACATATAAGCACCCTAAAGTTCAATTCACCAATACCTTCAAAACGTACAAAAAAGACCCGTAATTCCACCAAATAACTACCTTAAATCCCCAAATTCAAGGACCATTATAGTGAATAAAGATCAAAATGCTAACTTCCAACCGATTTTCAGATCTTTCCCACACCTTACTAGAATCCTCCATTCATGAAAGTGGCAACTAAGACTACTAAAATGTAGAGACTTCTTGATCAACATAAAGAAGCCATTTACAAATTATAATTGTAAATTATGGAAAAGTTCCATTCAAATTTCAGTGTATAAAATCAAAGCAATCCATAAATTCAATTCACAGGTGCTTTCAAAAGGTACAAAAAAGACCCTTCCTTTCCTAAATTCCAAGTAAAACTTGGTAATAAAGATCAAAAGCTCCCATTTTTCACATTTAACTCTACCAAAAAATAACTGAAAAACAAAAAACTCGACTCCGAAACTGAAGTGCTGATTTTCCTATCCTTCCTAAACTTTCCTGGATTCCTCCACTATACTTTTTTTTTTTTTTTTTTGAAAAAACCTCAACAAGGAAAATTTATTAAAAGCAAAAGAAATGACGAATCAGAAACAGAGAGGCTAAAAAAAACGAGGAAAAGAAAAACAAAACATCAAGCTTTGAACCTGTATCTTGTAAACCCAGCAGCATCCAAATCAAACTCTCTAAAAACAAAATTTGGAACATTATGCCACCAAGTGTAACAACCGGAAACTACACCGAAACTAGCCAAACAATCAGCAAGAGTATTAGCCTCTCTAAAAGAATGAGAAATAGCAATATCCATAGAGCTAGCCTTATCAAGAGCATCCATCCAAGCATTCCGAAGAGACCACAGAACCGTGGAACTAGCACTCTGAAAAAGATGAATTGCACAAGCTGAATCACTTTCAAACCAAATGCGCCTCCACCCTTTACTCTAAGCCAACCTAATGGCTATTATAATAGTCCTCATCTCAGCTTCTATAGCAAGGCAATGTCTAAAGAAAACACTAAAAGCTCCTAAGAAGAAACATCTACAGTTCTGAAAGACCGCACCTACCCCGGCTAAACCATTCCTCTTAGTAGCCTCATCCGTGTTAACTTTAATCCAAGCTGGTGAAAGGAGTCCTCTAAACAATAGATTAGATCCTACGAGCTTTCTTAGGCACAACCTCAAGACCAAAAGCTTTGACAGCAAGAAGCCCTTGAAGGGAGTTTCTCATAACCCCAATCTTTAGCCTACCAACCTCAACTACTGCTTGCTTAACCGCCATCCAAAGAAAACGGAAACTAGGAACCATACCATCAAAAATATCCCTGTTTCTCAAAGACCAAATAGCCCAAAAGCTAGTAACAATCGCAATAGGCCATAAACAATAAACTTGAGAACCAAAATCAGCTTCAAAAGCACAAGAAATCATCTCTTCAATACTTTGAGCGGGACATAACCGCCTACCAAAAATCTTAGAGAAATGATCCCAAATCATAACAAAATAACATGGTAAAAATAAGTGAGAAATAGATTCCTCATGCTTATAACAAAAATGACAAACTAAGGCAACAACAACCAAAAAAAAAAAAACCCTCTCTTTTGCATAACAGTCTCCACTGGAAGAGCACCATGAAAAGCCTTCCAAACCACAATCGACCTTCTAGGGGGAGTATAGCCATGCCAAATCTTTCAACCCCAAGACCGCTCAACAGAAGCCACACGAACCTCCTCATAAGCCCGAGCAATAGTCAAACCACCCCCCAACGACTTAGTCCAAATGAGACGATCTTCACAAGCAACCGAAGTGCAACTAATAGCTTGAACAATATGAGGAAAACCATCAGCCAAAAAAAAAAAAAAAGAATAACCCAAGAAGAACCATCCCAAAAATCTAATACGACAGCTGAAAGATGAGCTCTAATGTGTTCAGGAACATTCAACAAGTCTACTAAAGGAGACCCAAACCACTTATCTTTCCAAGAATTTACCTTTGAGTTTTTTACCAACCAACCACCTAGATTCCAAGGAAAGCTTCGCCACTATCTTTTTGATGGCATGGCAAATAGAAGAAGCAATTCGAGATTTAGGAACACCATCAGCCTTTAAAAAAATCTTTTTGATGGCATGGCAAATAGAAGAAGCAATTCGAGATTTAGGAACCCCATCAGCCTTTAAAAACCAGCCACTCAAGAAAGGAAAAGTACCATCAAGCTCAGAAATGAGATTCCAGGCTAACTTGTGCAAGCAAGCCTTATTAAGAGCTAAAAGATTTCTTATAACCAAACCCCCCTCACCAAAAGGTCTACAAACCTTATCCCAAGTGACATAAATCATTTTTTTATTTTCCACCGAACCGGACCAAATGAAATTCGCCATAGCTCTAGCAACAACTACGAGGAGAGACTTCAGCCAACAACACACCATACAATAATGTAAAAGAGAAGAAGTAGCCCCTGTTTTAACCAAATCCACTCTACCAGCCATAGAAAGAAGACCACCCTTCCAAGAAGTAAGCTTATTGATCACCTTATCTGCTACTGGACGAAGATGAGCACGATTTGGCTTACCTTTAAGACTCCAAGATATTTGAAAGGCAAATCACCCCACCTCATGCCAAGCAAAGCCAAAATCACAGCAGAACGACGAAGAGTAGATTTTCCAATAAACACTACAGATTTCTCCTTACTGAAAACTTATCTCGAGCACATACTATACTCATCAAGAAGATCCAAAATCCTACGCAAATTCCGCACAGGCCCATTGCAGAATATCATTAAATCATCAGTAAAAAAACATGAGAAGGAGCACAAACACCCCGATGAGCCGAAACACGTTCCTCGACCAACCAGTTCAGAGCTTGGCTGAGGGCATCCTCAGCTAGACAAAAAAGAATAGGCGACAAAGGATGCCCCGGCCAAACGCCTCTAGAGTAAGAAAAGAAACCCACGCAACCCTAAAATACTCTTAATACAACCCATAAACACGCAATTAAAACCCATTTTAACACGAGTGGACGTAAGAAAATCCCATCAAAGAGTATCAAAGGCTTTACGAACATCCAACTTCAACCCCACATTGCCCCCAAAGCATCTTTTATCCAAAAGATTGGCACACTCAGAAACTAGACCGATACAGTTTAATCTGGCCTTTTGAGAAGGCAAATTTATTAACATCAAAACTATAAATCTCTTACTCTCCGTTTGGTTCATGGGTTCAAATCGTGATTCATGATTCTGACATTTAAAATTTACATTTTTTTGGAGAGAAAGCAATCGTAACAGAATCAAGAACCATGATTTGAACAGTGAAAAACCATTCAAACAAACGCAACCTTAATCGAGCAAGTAAATACTTTTAAACTTTCTTCAATCCAAAACTAGTAATCCAAAGAAATAGATCTGAGAAATCCAGGGCTTGTGCTTTTGTATTAAAACTCAAAAAAAATTTGAACTCAAGTTACAACTTTATTCAAGATCATGTTATTTTGTAAAATTTGCGTTTAAAGTTGATTTTGAACTCGAGTTTTAACTTCATTTTAGGGATAAAATCTGAATTCAAGTTCTCCTTTCAATTCAAATTTTTAAACTCAAACTCAAGTTAATGAACAATATTTTTTCTATTCTTAAAAACGTCATAACTTTTTCGTTTTAATTCTGATTGAGATGATTTTTTTTATGCATTCACAATGAAAATATGAATAAAACTTCACCCATATACCTTATTAAAATTTTTTATTACCATTGAGTTTTTATTAAAATACTATCTAAATATAAATTCAAATTTTGACCCATCCAAACACAAATTCAAATGAATTTTTAATTCAAACCATAACTCAAATGTACACGTCCAAACACAAACTCAAATTACAATTTTAACTCAAATTATAACTCAAATTCAACTCAACAACTACACTCAAATTATCCTAACTCAAAAATACAACCGAACAACCCCCAGACACTAGATCGAACGCGCAAAAGAACAGATTCAATGACAGAAAAAAAATCAAATCAAATCCAAATGAACACTACTGACAGATTCAGCTCAAGATGCAGACTTTTTCCGCGAATAAACACGAACAACAAAGTTCTATGCACAAATCGAGTTGAAAAACTGTTAATTGAACTGAGGAAAGCAGAGAAATCGGAGATTTGGCTTACACGGAGAAGGTGCCGGAGACGGTGTCGTTGGCGGAGCGAACGGCGGCTTCCAGATCGAAACCAAGGGGCAAGGAGGAGTTCTCGTCGGAATGCGAAGCCGCGTAGGAGTTCCAATCCGCAAGCAAAGAAGACGAGGGCTTCTCCGAGACGTCGGCGCCGTCGCTAACGCTCTGCGTAAACCATTCCTGGGCCATTTTCTGCATCGTGTTTTCTCGGCTCCCGCACACGGAGCTTCAAGAATCGAGATTTCAGAAATAGAAACGTTTTTCTTTTTGGGTGGGTGAGTTTCTTGTCGAAACGTTTTTGCGTGGAGAGGAAAATGGTGTTCTTGTCTCTTTCTTTCCCTCCGTCTTTCCCGATTAACAGGTAAGTAGAGACGACGAAAGGCTTGGCAATTAAGCAATGTAATGGAGTGATGAAACGACGACGTATGACTCTCATGTTTTGTTTCATTTTATTATTATTATTTTTCTTTTTTTTTTTTAGAGCTAAACTCAGGAGAAGTCTTTGAATTTTTTTCTTTTTTATAATTAATCCTCGTGATGAAAGTGTTTTAAATTAACCATATATAATAAAAGGATGAATGCCCTTTCCACCATTTACTACGAAGGATTGACTAACAATCCAATTTATTTTATAAGAAAATTTATACACTTAGATTTATTAATAATTAGTAAAACTAGATTATTAAAAGACTCATAATTATTTCAATTATTAAATTATTCAAATTGGATGATTAAAAATTCATACATTTAAATTATTCATACATATGAACTGAAATTTTTTCCTTTTTTTTTTTTTTTTACTTTTTTGATTAACTAAAACTCCTCTAACATATATCTAATTTATTAGAGAATAAAAGATCAAAATATATGTAGATTTTTGGGCTTTTAACAACTAATTTAAATTAATTTAAGATGATTTTAGTGAAGGCTGAATTGATATTTTTTTTATAAAAATGTATTAGGATTTTTTTCTCACCCTTTTGTACTTGAATGTAATTTTAGTAAAGGTCATTTCTGATAATAAATTTTATTGAAATGTGTGTGTAGAGAATATACATGGAGTGGAAATAGAGCTCCCTTAAGAAAAAATTCATAAACAAACAAAGACCTTCATTAAATTACAAGATTGTCAATCATTTGGTATCAAATTATGAGATTACCCTTGTTTTCCATCTAAATTTTGATTGAGAGACTAAATTTGAAACATTTGAAGAGTTTAAGAATTAAGTTATAACACTTTTTGGTACAGGAACTAATGGTAAAAAGGGAAGAAAGTTAAAAAACTTCTCATGAATTTAACTCTTTTTTTATTAGGAGATCTTAATATTTTCTTTTTAAATTTTACTTTTCCTTATTATTTTCATGACTATTAATACTAAGACGTTTGGTACAAAACTTTTAATTTAGGGATGGTAATCTTCTCCACGGAAATGAGCCCCAAGAGGATTCACACTGAAAAAAGCAGATATGAAAGATAATAATTAGGAATCTAGATAGGAATGGGGACAAAATTTTGCCCTTGAATCTTGGCGGGCAGAAATGGAGGAAGTACTTCCCACCCTGCTCCCGCCCCAATATACATATTTTATATATAATATATTTTATACAAATATACATACATATTATATTGCAATTTTTTTATATCATTTTATACTTTAAAAAAAAGTAACTATGTTAATTGAAAAAAGTCAACTAAGAAAAAGAGAAAACTTGAAAAGTGGTATCTATTTTTATTTTAAGTTACAATAATTTTAAAATGTTTAATTACATTTGATAAGAAATAAGGCGGATAAAGGGAACGCCCTCTAATAAGAAATCTCCGACTCCACCCTACCTTTAATTAAGCGGGAATAAGGATGGGTTTAGAGGGTGGGGATGGGAATGGTAAATTATTCTCTGCTTTCGTTCCATTGTCATCTCTATTTCTATTAAAATTATTTTAAAAAGGAAAAAGTATGATACGACTAAATTTTTTATTGTAAGGTTTTATGTTTTTAGGATTTTTTTTTTTATCGTAAGGTCTTTTTTTTGGGGGGAATTTATTGTAAGGTTCTTGTTCAAGTAATAGCCACACCTTCTCTTGTTCCTTCTCACATCACATGGCAAATAAGGTCCATCATGATTCCTCCAAACTCATCAACATGAAAAAAAAAAAAAAAAAAAAAAACTTAATAATGATCCAATTGGCCGGGGTTTCAGAAAATATTAGGAGAGTTTTATGACTTTGCAAATATTTTAGGTCCCGTTCATTTCATCGATTCAAGTTTAGAATTTGAGTTTTATTACAGTAAAAAGCTCTCAGAAACAATCACATCTAACTTTTTTACTACAGTAAAAAACTCTCACATAAAGTCACATCTCAACTCAAATTAAAAACTCGAATCAACAAACTGAACGGCCCAATAGGAATTATAAGGGCATTTCCTTGTAGCTTTCAAAGTCGGCTATTAAAGTATTTTGGCTCAAGCCCTTGAGATTGATTGATTAAGAGTCAGCCTTTTGTTTGAGTAAGATATATATTCCTTGTTGATATATTGGATAATTAATTGGAATTTGGAACCGAGTAATTTCTCCATTTACAGCTAAACATCCCAAAATTGTTATGGACAAGGCCAGTTTGATCTCTATTCTAGAGGTTTGCTTTCAGATTTTCACGAAGTTTTAGGTAAAGTTGCATTCCATAAACAAAATTTACGAGTGATTTGCGTAAAAAAAACTAAGAGATTATTTGGTACATGTATTTGAAACTCAAATCCCGTGCTACTACGGTGTTTTTTCTCTCACAAAGAATTTGAATCAAAAAAATTTCAACCAACAATCCTCTCATAAAGAATTCCCGTCAATAATTCAAATACACATCCCAAACGGGCCCTAATACACTTTTAAAGTATTTTTGAGAATTAAGCAAGAGATCAACTGGTAATTCTTAAAAGTTGAGAAATCCTACACTCAGCTCGCTATAGAAGATTGTGTTAGGTTTTGTATTAGAATGACAAATATGGTAAATTGTTATTTATTCGGACCAATGTGTGCGAGGTTTCAAAATAAACTTATCATGTGTGAAAAAGGTTGAGAAAAATCAAAACTCTTATTGATAGATGTTCTTGAGCATAGGAATAATTTAAACACAAACTCAGAGCAATTTCAAGAGCTGCACTTCGAATATCAACGGCTCGTTTGCGTGGGACAAAAGGCTACGGCGAGGGCCAAACTGCAACAAAAGAATACAAAACTATGTCAACACTAAAAAACAAAGTTGATGAAGGTTTTCTTTTTTTTTTTATTTTTATTTTTATTTTTTTTATAGTTGATGAAGAATCTTCAACTATAAGAAAAGAGTGTATTAGGGAGAGGAATTCCTCATAAGGAAAGGCAAAGAAAGAGAGCAAAAAGCAAAAGGGTTAGAATAATAAAAGAGATTCTAGAATAAAAGCAAAAGGGCAAAAGCAAGAGGGATGAAATAAGTAGGTGAGGAGAAAAATGGATTACTGCTTCTGGTATTGGCTTTAAGTTTTCATTTACGTATCCCACAGAAGGAGGTATCAATGCTCTTCTCTTTCCTGAAAATGAAATTTGAACAGAATAAGCAAAAGTTTCTATTAGAGAAAATTGTTAGCAAATGAACTAGCAATGACCAAAAAACAAAACACAGTTGTAAAAATCGCAAAGAAAATGTAAAAGAAGAATTCGTTTTACATCTTGCTAGTATCGCGCAATCCTTTAGACCGTAAATTACATCATATTATTTAGCGTCATTTAAGTTGACACCCCTAGTTTTTGTGTAAGAAAAAAGGTCGAAAAAAGGTATTTTAGCCTATGAAATTTTGACAAGTTTATATGGGGTTAAAACTCCCTCAAGACAACTCGAAGTGCTAAAAAAAGTGTGTAAACTTAAAACTTGGTGAAAATCTAACGGTTTAAAATTATGTAATATCAATATGGCATTTCTTTCTTTTTAAATCACAGGCAAAAAGTAGATAATTATAAGAAAAAATGCGTCGACAAAAAGGATAGCTAGACAGTTCAACATACCTCCAACTCTCATTCCAATAAGAACCTCCTTCAAACCCCTAATTATCTGTGAAAAAAGAGTCAACTTTAGTATTTCAAAATTTTAATGAAATTTAAAGAAATATTAGCAGATTTAGTATTGTTAAGAATTTACATGCTGAAATGAAAAAAAAAAAAAAAAAAAAAAGAATTGACCTGATTCTCATCCAAAAGAAGAATAACAGGAGAGCTTTCTCCACTGAACTGATCCACAGTGCTACATTGGGATTTGTTTGGGGACACATTCAGAATTTCAGAAAAGTATTAAAAGAGAGGAATAAAAGAATAACTTGTGTGACAAGCAATGTGGTAGGAGGAAATTTACCTATGAACAAAGTATCCGTTTGAGCGCCGACATACGTAGTTAATTTCGACTGTGTTTCCTTCTCGTGCTTTCGGTCCTTCTCCTTCAATTATCTCTAGAGAAAAGCGAAACTTGTGATTAGTATGGATTTCAACAGTGAACAAATCCATTATATGCAAGATCCTTTCTAATTGTGCCTTTCTATCTAACAGGAACAATACTGGTATCCAATTTACTTGGTACACAATTCATGCTCATAAGTCATACCAATAAGGTATTGAAGACAAGCTTCTCCATTAAAATTGGGTTAATCCAAACTTTGGCCTCTGAATTATAACCCTTGTCGCACTTTGACCTCAGACTTTTGATTTGCCACACTAATGATTCCCATTCTGTGTTAGTGTTGCAAAAACAACCCTTCCATCTATTTTTCGTTAAAAGTTGGATGAAACCAGTCACTTGTCTCCATCCTGTGACTGTTTAGATAGGACGATTAGGATAATTGTTTGCGATGAAAAGAATTGTATTTTAGACCTTTAGATTATCTTCACAAAAAAAGAGGGGAACAAAGTGGGACAAGGGCTATAATTAGAGATAAAAATGGGATTAACCCAAAACTATATGTTCTTTATTTTGTGTGTCTAATAAGTAGGAACAGACCATTTAGGCTCTTCACCTAAACAAATGTACTAAACATGTCCATTGGCAATCTCAAGCAAACATTATGTGGAATCTTGTGAAGTTTGTACCTTGAATCCTCACACCACTGGGAAGCTTTAAGGTCCTGGACACTTCAAATCCCAAACAAAGACCCGGCATGAGAACCGATATAGTTTAAAGGGAAAGTTAAACATGGAGGAAATTTTTTTAGAAAATTTAATGAGAATTCTTTGGTGGGGTCTCATAAGACACATTTTCTAACCTTTAGATTCTTATTGAGTTATGTTAAATTATCGTACTTTTCTTAAAGTGACATGAAATTGTTTATAATCTTACGATTAAAAACCGCGCCCTACCGGTAGGGTACGTACCCACCCTAGGATTCTCCAAAACTCAAACCGACAAAAAGACCACGTATGATACTTACCGAATGACTTCAGGTTCTTTCATCTCTGGCAATGGTGCAGCAGAAACAGGTTGCAATAGGAAAAGGAGAGAGTTGAACTTGAACCCCATGAGCTGCAAAAACAGCCTCCTTGGCACGTTTTTGACTGTTAGTGGTCTTAATCTGTTTTGCTTGTTCTCAGCTACTATACCATTCTTGGGTTGCTCATTATTAAGGCAGCTGATTTTACACACCAGAAAAAAGAAAAATAATAATAAAAATAAAGGGACTGAATTGAAAATTTAAAGGGACTAGCATGTGTATAAAATATAAGATTTATGCCACTTTTCGTAAGTGATAGTTATTATTTGTTCCAGAAAAAAGTTCCACTAAGAATAATGGAGCTGAGAATTACTCTTATTAGACGCCTAAAGATGCTAAAATTGGCGTTTTTATGCCTTCCCAATCGCTTGTAGAGCAAATGGGATTCTTTTTTTTTTACACATGAGAGATCATAATTTCAACTTGTGAATTAAACAATAATTTGACCGAACAAATTGGTAAATACCTATATTTTGGATAGTCAATTACACATTAAGAATTTAAAAGAAGAGTAATAATTGAATGCTAATAACAAAAAACAAAAATGCCCATCAAGATGGTGAAGTGCATAAATTAATGGGAAAGTTTGTACCTTGGAGATCTGAAAGAACATGGAAGCAAGCTTTGAGATGGGAGAGCTTCCATCCTCAAAAGCGTTGCAGAAATGCAAGTTGTTGATAATGGATAAGCTACCACAGGACACAGACAAATGTATGTATATATATATATATATATATTTATATTTATATTTATATATACTCACATATAAATATATAATATATACATATATATTAGAAACGATCGTGGTCTCATTTATTTTACCGATTTGAGTTTTTAGTTTTAAATTTTTATAGTTAAAAACTCTCAGAAAATATCATATTTAACTTTTTCTGTTATAATTAAAAACTCTCAAAAAAAATTATATTTCAACTCAAATTAAAATTTCAAATCCGCAAAGTGAACGATGCCTACACGTGAAAGATGGAACTTGAGAGTTTTGGTTCTGTGTATTAGTATCCGTGGAAGTGTGAGAGAACTATTCTGGACCACATTTGAGTAACTTCTAGATTGGTCAAAGACAAGCATTTGATTGGAGTTTTGTGGGCAATTTTGTTATGTTTTTTTTATCAAAATTCTATAATGAGAAAAATATCTAACAGGTAAGATTTTATTTTAATTGTATCAATTATCAAATTCCGTTAATTTTTTCATATGTTTTTCTTTTGTTTTTATTTCGACATGAAAAGGGTAATAGGTACTAGTTTATTTACTATTTTAGTTCCCTTTTTGAATCTTAAGGGTGAAAGAAAATATTTCAATTAAGAAATTTTAGCCTCATTTATTTTTCACCAATTCAAGTTTTCAATTTTAAGTTTCTATAGTTAAAAACTTTAAAAAATATAACATTTAACTTTTTCTGTAAACGAGGTCTTTAATTTTTCAAATTTGAGTTCGTATCTCAATTTTCACTTCCAAACTTGTTTGCTACATTCACAATGGGAAAATTATTTTTGAATTTCAGTAAATGACGCCACATGTGTAATTATTCAATTAATTACGTACATATGCCTCATAATTTTAATTTTTCACAAATTATACCTTATTTTAAAAAGAAAGAATAATTTTAAAAAAATTACGGGTGTGTTTGGAATTATTTTTTAGTTATTTTTAAAAACGTTTATGCGTGTCTTTTGAGGTAAGAAAACGAAAACGGTTTACAAATTGCGTTTGTTTAATAAAAGTTTTGAAAATGAAAAATAAAAAAACAATAATGAGAATGATTTTTGTGAAAAAAGTAGAAAATAATTAAAAGTTATTTTTCCTTTTCCGTTTTCATTTTTTAATACTTATCAACCATTTTATATTAAATAATTAATAATTAATTACTAATTATTAATTATTAATTAAGTAATTACTATTTATTTTTTATTTATCAACTATTTATTAATTAATAAATAGTTGATAAATAAAAAATAAATAGTAATTACTTAATTAATAATTAATATTAAATTATAATTATCAATATGTAATATAATAATTATTAATAATTAATAATTAATAATTAGTAATTAATCATTATAAAAAAATAATTATTAAAAATTGATCATGTGATATATCAAATAATAGATTATTAAATAAAAATTAGTAATTAATTAATTAATGAATTATTTAGTTATATAACTAAAAGTTAATAATTTAAATAGTAAATGGAATATTAATAAATTATGTATATACTAATTATTTTTCTTAATACACTAATTAATTACTTATAATCTTATATATATGAGTACATACTAACATAGTAGTTACTTATAATTAATTACTAATTATTTTTTTTAATTATTTAGTTTATTAATTTATTATATATATAGTTTAATTACTAATGTACTCATTAATGATAATTTATGCATTATTATCATATTATTAATATATTAATTTTATTTTCTAAATAATTATCATTTATTAATTAATTAATATATTAATATAAGATTATTAATTACATGTACTCAAAATAAACATAAATGTAACTAAATATGATTTTACTTTTTTATCATGCTTAAACTAATCTCTTAAAAGACCACTAAATATAATTTTAAAATCAGTGTCAGAATAATTTTTAAAACAATCTCATTTTTATTTTTATACTAAAAATAAAATCATTTTGAAAACATTACTAAACGGGCCATATAAGTTACTAAACGGGTTGATTTTTAAATAATCAAAATGTTGGAGGCTACTATTGTAATTGCAAAACTTGTAGTTTCAATTTTGAATGTAAATCTAGAACATTCTACCAGAACAGAGAGGTAGATTACTAGATTTACTTGGGCTTAATGAATCCGGGCCCATTAATTTTTGCCGTCCCCAAATTATCCCCTATCACGCCGACGTGGCAAAAAGTTTCACAAAACTTCCGTTCCTCGCAAGGTAAGCCAACCAGAGGCCTGGTAAAATTCGAGGAAATTTTCCCAAAATAAAATAAAGATCCAATTAATTAGCTATAGAAAGATCTAGAAACCCTAAATTTCCTTCTTATATAAGCTTCGCTTCGTCTTTCGCTTGTTCATCTCTCACAGTCTCTCTCTCTGCGCGTTACTCTGTTTCTCTCTCTAAAACCCTAGATCTGTCTCTCTCCTCTTCGATTAGCCATGTCGGAAACAGAGACGTTCGCTTTCCAGGCTGAGATCAACCAGCTTCTCAGTCTCATCATCAACACCTTCTACAGCAACAAGGAGATCTTTCTCCGTGAGCTCATCAGCAATGCGTCCGACGTACGTTTTTCGTCTCTCATCGCTTTTGTTCTCACACTTTTTTGATTTTTTATTGAGTTTCTCTTTTGATTATGCATTGAGAAATTTGTCATTGAATTTCCGTAATCTTTTTGTATTTTATACATTTTTTTTGTTTGTTCGAGTAAATATTATGATGTTGGGTTCTAAATGCCTTTGTGGAATAATATGTCGTTTTGTTGTTGTTCCTATGTATGTTGGTGGAAATTAGCTTTTTTTTTATAATTTTGCAAATTCATTGTATGGATAGTTAATTTTATTTCTATTTGATTCATGTTTTATTATGTTAGCGTGAAAATATGTGATATTTGATGGTCAACCCGATAGGTAGAATTGATTTTGTGTTGTGTGACGGAAATTATAAGTAGTTTAACAGTGTCGTTGACTAAGATTCTTAGATAAAGGTTGTCGAATTCGTGGTGATTATAGTTTTTGTTTTGGACTAGCAAATTCGATTTTGGGTTCCTTTGTTTTTGTGATTATTTACGAAAAATTTTCCATGCAGGCTCTGGACAAGATCCGTTTCGAGAGTTTGACTGACAAGAGCAAGCTCGATGCTCAGCCAGAGCTCTTCATTCACATTGTGCCCGACAAGACCAACAACACACTGTCGATCATTGACAGCGGTATCGGCATGACCAAGGCTGGTATGTGCCGGAATTATATCCCTGTTCTCTTTTAGTAACGAGTTTGAAGCACTGTGTGAATCCTATTACCTTATTAACTTATTGATGTGTGTATTTTCAGACTTGGTGAACAACCTCGGTACCATTGCAAGGTCCGGGACCAAGGAGTTCATGGAGGCTCTGGCCGCTGGTGCTGATGTGAGCATGATTGGACAATTCGGTGTTGGTTTCTACTCTGCTTACCTTGTTGCTGAGAAGGTCATTGTTACCACAAAGCACAATGACGACGAGCAGTACGTGTGGGAGTCTCAAGCTGGTGGTTCTTTCACCGTCACCAGAGACACTTCTGGTGAGATCCTTGGCAGGGGTACTAAGATCACTCTGCACCTCAAGGAGGACCAGCTTGAGTACCTGGAGGAGCGCCGTTTGAAGGATTTGGTTAAGAAGCACTCTGAGTTCATCAGCTATCCTATTTCTCTCTGGGTTGAGAAGACCACCGAGAAGGAGATCTCTGATGATGAGGATGAGGAAGAGAAGAAGGACGAGGAAGGAAAGGTTGAGGATGTTGACGAAGAGAAAGAAAAGGAAGAAAAGAAAAAGAAGAAAATTAAGGAGGTTTCCCATGAGTGGTCCTTGGTTAACAAGCAAAAGCCCATCTGGATGAGGAAGCCTGAGGAGATCACAAAAGAAGAGTATGCTGCTTTCTACAAGAGTCTCACAAATGACTGGGAAGAGCATCTTGCTGTGAAGCACTTCTCAGTTGAGGGTCAACTGGAATTCAAGGCTATCCTATTTGTCCCTAAGCGGGCTCCATTTGATCTCTTCGACACCAGGAAGAAGCCCAACAACATCAAGCTGTACGTTCGCAGAGTCTTCATCATGGACAACTGTGAGGAGTTGATGCCCGAGTACCTTAGCTTTGTCAAGGGTATTGTTGACTCCGAGGATCTTCCCCTCAACATTTCAAGAGAAATGCTGCAGCAGAACAAGATCTTGAAGGTTATCCGCAAGAACTTGGTCAAGAAGTGCATTGAGCTCTTCTTTGAGGTTGCTGAGAACAAGGAAGACTACAACAAGTTCTACGAGTCTTTCTCTAAGAACCTGAAACTTGGCATCCACGAGGACTCCACAAACAAGAACAAGCTTGCTGAGTTGCTGCGATACCACTCTACCAAGAGTGGTGATGAGCTGACTAGCCTGAAGGACTACGTGACCAGGATGAAGGAGGGCCAGACTGACATTTACTACATTACTGGTGAGAGCAAGAAGGCTGTTGAGAACTCCCCATTCCTCGAGAAGCTGAAGAAGAAGGGTTACGAGGTTCTTTTCATGGTTGACGCCATTGATGAGTATGCTGTTGGCCAGCTGAAGGAATTCGAAGGGAAGAAGCTTGTCTCTGCTACCAAGGAAGGTCTGAAACTCGAGGAGAGTGAGGATGAGAAGCAGACGAAGGAAGCCCAGAAGGAGAAGTTCGAGGGGCTTTGCAAGGTCATCAAGGATGTCCTGGGTGACAAGGTTGAGAAGGTTGTGGTGTCTGACCGCGTGGTTGATTCTCCTTGCTGTTTGGTGACTGGAGAATATGGCTGGACTGCCAACATGGAGAGGATCATGAAGGCTCAGGCGTTGAGGGACAGCAGCATGGCTGGCTACATGTCGAGCAAGAAGACCATGGAGATCAACCCCGAGAACCCCATCATGGAGGAGCTGAGGAAGAGGGCTGATGCTGACAAGAACGACAAGTCAGTGAAGGACCTTGTCCTCCTGCTCTTTGAGACTGCTCTCCTCACTTCTGGCTTCAGCCTCGACGACCCCAACACCTTCGGCAACAGAATTCACAGGATGCTTAAGCTCGGGTTGAGCATTGACGAGGATGCTGTTGAAGGCGATGCTGACATGCCCCCGCTAGAGGATGCTGATGCCGAGGCTGAGGGCAGCAAGATGGAGGAAGTCGACTAAGCATATTCTTCTCTTAACCGTTTATCTTAAAGTTTTCGTTACAAGTAGTGTTTTATCTTTTGTTTTTTTTTTTTTTGTTTTTTTTTTTAAAACCCTTAAGCTCGGGTTGAGCATTGACGAGGATGCTGTTGAAGGCGATGCTGACATGCCCCCGCTAGAGGATGCTGATGCCGAGGCTGAGGGCAGCAAGATGGAGGAAGTCGACTAAGCATATTCTTCTCTTAACCGTTTATCTTAAAGTTTTCGTTACAAGTAGTGTTTTATCTTTTGTTTTTTTTTTTTTTGTTTTTTTTTTTTAAACCACCTTAGGCGGTGTATTTTGGAGGATTGTTTTGGACAAGTTATATCATGGTTTTTCTTTCTGCGATATTAAGCTACATTTTCCCAAATCCTGTTTTGCTTAATCTTTTGATGAGTATGTGGAATTTGTGCTTACAAGTTGGTTATCTTTCTTTCTAGTTTATGCGACTGATGTTGACGATATGAACAATTGGCGGTAGCTGTGATTAAGAAATTGTCGTTTCTTATCATAGGGTGTCGTTTTTTAGTTTAATTCTGTCGTATTGGTGGTGGCTTTGATCAAAGATTTGAAGGGTCACACGGGAGAGAAGCATCTGTGAGGAATAGGATTCTTGTTTTTGATGGTTTAAATGGTTCAAATTATTTTTTACTTTTTGTAAAATAAAAATTATTTTTTATTTTTTGAAAAACAAAGAGAGTTTGAACAAATAGGAGCCTTTATAGACCCGGGTTGATAATCAACTCAGTTTTGTCTCCAAGTTTAGAATGTGCTAAAACAGGATTCAAATGAAATGAAAGGAAATAAGCACAATATTACTGAAGTGGCTAAGAACAGAACAAACAATGTTTAAATAATCCCAAAAAAGTTTTGCCCTTTTACATATATCAGAGTACAACATTTTCTAAAAATACACAATATACAATTTGCCCTTGACTTCAAGTACCGTCCACTTAACATAGCAAGCATAAAAATGTAAATCTTCCATAATAGTTATGATAAGCTTCGTCCAATACCACCAAGGGGAAAGCAAATCCAAGTTGCATTGAGAAATGGAAGAAGCCACTACCATTTGCTTCACCCGAATGAATATTGGAAAAGAAAAAAAAAATCAAATCTTTAAAGTTGGAAGAATTAAAAGTAAAAATATGAGCCTGAAACAACAATATTACCTCTTGCCTCTCAATAAAACCTTGATGCTTGAGATCAGAAATGTCTCGAAAAAGGCCAGTTGAAACTTCTCTTAGAACAGTTGTTAAGGAAACAAAGTTTATAATTAACATATGTATATAAGAATATTCCAAACCAAGATGGACAGATAAAAAGCATTATTACAAATCATATTAACAGATCTTGTTAATCAACCCATAATTAATTATACCACTGTTCATCTTCTTAAAAATTTTATAAGGAGCTTGAATTTCACATTTTTTCTTGATAAAAAAAGAGATCAGTGGTGTTCTCACTCTCTTGTCTAACGCCACTTTTAGAATCTATAGGGACTATAATTGGAACAAAAAAGGGCCCAATTCATGTTTGTTAGCGATCACTAGAGATTCATCAATGTCAAACACAGAACCTTACTATTTTTGGGGAAGAAAGAGGGGGCGTAAAAATTTGAACATCTTCTAACGGATGTGAGAGTCATGTTACAATAATTCTTCATCGTTAAGCCATCATCACCGATAGTTCTCAATTTCACTTGAGCTGACTGCGTCTAAGTATGAAAATATATTTTCATTAGATCAATTTTGTAGTTCTATGGCAAACTTTTAGTACAAATAAGTTATTTAACTCAATAGAGTTCAATAACAACTAAAAAGATCCAAACAATTCTAAAGAGTTCTTTTTACATTTTTACACCATGTTTTTGAGGTTATCAAAAAAATCACGCCTCATAATTTGAATTGTTTCATATTTGTATCTTTATATTAAAAATTTATACTCAATCTTTTGTACCCTTTTGTACCCTGTATTTTAAAGATATAAAAAATACAACCATACATTTTTTAGTGTTCCAAAATTAAAATATAGGTTACAAAAATACAAGCAATACTTTTTAAAATTTTCAACCTTTTCATCCTTTTTAAAACCCTTACTTATTATTCTCGCAGTACATTCAATTTCAAAATACACAATTAGTAAAAAGTGATCAAAATTGTATATTTTAAAAACATTGGAATAACTAAAACCTCATATCATTAGTGAAAATAAACAAAAATAATAAAATAATAAAAATAATAATAAAAACTTTACTCCGTTGGGAACCCCATGTAAGCATGTATATTTATCAGATTTTCAAAAACAATCCCCAAACATACTTACACACACGCAGAGAAAAATTCGGAACTCAGAGAAAATTGAAACCCTAGGAAAACCACGATTTGAAGAAGAAGAAGAACCAGAGCTCTCAATTGATTGAATTGGAATTCTCTCTCTCGATGGGGAAGAGAATTTTTGCGTCGCCTCGCTGCTATGAATAACACCGGTCGCAGAGTCAAGCTCGACCTCTTCGCGGAACCCTCTGGTATATAGATATACATTTATATATAAATATATGTGTGTGTGTGTGTGTATACGTATTTTTATGTATTGTTGATTTTTTTTTCGGTAGCTTCGTTAGGGTTTCTGAGAAAATCTGCCGAATGAATCGGAATTTGTAGTGGTTGATTAAGTTATTTTTGGGGAAAAATGGAATAGCGAAAGACTTTTTTTCTCGTGAGCTGAAAGACTGTATTTTGATTGTAAATTGGAGTGCTTCGTTTGCCTTAATATGGGATTTGGGTGGTTTCATTTCATGCTTGCTTGTTTGCTGAGAAAATCTGCCTAGTCGATCAGAATGCGTATTGGTTGATAAAAGTGACCAATTGAAGACCTATTTTTTTGTGCACTTCTATATTTGCGGTGAGCTGAAAGACTTTATTTTAGTTATATATTAGGGTGCTTTCTTTGGCTTAATAGGTAATTTGGGAGGTTTCCCTCGTTTGTTTGCTGAGAAAATCTCCCTAATGAATCGAAATCCTTAAATTGTTTTTGAAAAAAACATGGACTGGTTAAAGACTTCTTTTTTAATATTTTTTTGGCGCTCAAAGACTGGATTTTGTGGTTTTTAATTTGAGTGCTTTGTTTCGTTCAATTGAGGATTCGGGTGGTTTTTGACGTGTTTGTTTGCCGAGAAAATATCTCTAACAAATCAGAATCCATTTTGGTTGATCAATAACTTTTTTCTGCAGAACAAATGAATCTCTGAAAGTTTCTTTTCTTTTCTTTTCTTTTTTTTTTTTTTGAAATTTTGTATTTCGGTTTTAAATATGAGTGCTTTGTTTGGTTTGATAGGAGATTTGGGTGGCTCCAGTGCACATGATGAGGTTGGAGTAGATACAGATTTGAAACATCGAGCTGGGTTACCCAATTCACCTTCTTCTTCAGGTGGGTTCCGTTCCGTCAGTTTTCTTCAAAAAAGGACTATGTAGAGGGGACATTTGTGCTCAACATTTTATTGGTGGAATTATGGAACTATAAAAAAAAATGTTACAAGACTTTGTTATGTTCTTTTGCTTCCCCCCGCCCAAGAATTGTTTTCAGACTGTAGGGTGGCTGTGGTTTGGGAAACAATACCATACATTGTCGGATCAGGTCAGGCCCTTCCACAGTGAATTATGAATCACTTGCACTCCTTGTGTCCTTTTTCGCCGCATCAAAGCTATTTCTGCAGGGATATCTGTCTATCGGTTCGTATGTCTCTGGCTTTGTTTTTGTTTTGTGCACTGCTGACTTCTTGCTTTAATGTGTAACAGGTGGCTGTGTGATGGATAGATGTCGGAATTTTTATTATCTTGAATTTTAGCAATTCTTAGAGCTTTCTTTGTCCATATAATACATGGAAATACTTGATACTTCCAAAAGCTTATGTCTTCTTAGATCTTATAAGTGTTTGACGTGGTAGTATGTCTGCTGTCTTCAGGCCAGAAACCAGAGAATCCGCTGCTTTTACTTGGTCAATATAGTGATGATGAATTAGAAGATGACTCGGAAAAAGCACTTGATAATGCAGCTGTGGAAAGTTCCTCGCCTGGCAATAATGATGAGGTAATCAACGGGTTTGACTACCTTGGCATTATTCCCATCCATGTTACATTGTATTGTTTTTGCACCTTGTAGTCTATACGAGAGGCTTTGCTTTTGAACTCTCATTGACAAAGCAATGTAGTTAAAATCCAGTTCATGTAATTGACCTCGTACGTTATTGCGTCTTATTCTTCTCTTGTTTTCAAAAAAATTGATATATCAGGGTGTGGTTTTGCATGGAGAAGCTTCAGTAGATATTGAGGTCAATACCGGCGAGGTACAACATGAAATTGATAAAGATTCTACTTCACTTAATTACCAGAACCAAGAAGGTATGGACAAAAGAGAAAGCGATGCTGCAGCCTCGAGCGATCTATGCAAAGACTTGGAGACTGAACAAGTCTCCACTTCTGGAGCATCTGATGCACAGCTGTTGGGAGATGTTAGTTCAGGTTGGCAGATAGTAATGCACGAGGAAAGCAACCGGTATTATTACTGGAACACAGAAACTGGGGAAACATCGTGGGAAATACCAGAAGTATTAGCTCAGGTGTCTGAGCTGGGCGGTAACCATAAAACTCCTGTTATGAGTGAGAGAATAGAGGACATCTCCGTCAATACACAAGAACCCAACTTGAGTTCAGGGGTAACATTAGAGAATCTTTCAGCGGCAACGGGTATTGATGGGTTGCATCCGGTTGTGTGGAATGGAGGAGTGAATAATGAAGTTCAAAATGATGCAATTCAGAGTAATGATGTCATCAACTCTGGTTCCTTTAATGATACCTTAGGTGATGGGAATTGTGATTTACAAATTGACCTTTCTTCCAGTCTTATAAAACATTGTGAGACTTTGTTAGAGACATTGAAGTCAGTTAAAGGGTAAGCTAGCCTTTTCTTATTTATGTTTCATGGATTTTTATATATGCTTTTGCTTGCTTAGAATTTCATTGTTCTATTAGTGAAAATTTTGGAAAATTTTATGGATTTTTTCTTTCTAATTGTCAAATAATATGTTTCAGGTCTAAGGGGGAGCTCCAAAGTCCGGACTGCTTCTCAAAATATATTTTAGAAGTTGAGATCAGACTTTCTGATATTAGAACACTTTCATCTTTTGGGTCATCTCTACATCAATTTTGGGTGCACTCTGAAAGGCAGCTTAAGCGGCTTGAGGATGCCATTAATGTCGAAATTTACAAGATTGCTGAATCTACAGTACTTGGTGACAAACTTCAAGAGAGCAAGGTTCATGAATCTGAACCATATGGAACAGGAAAGATTGCGCTTTTTCCTCTTTCAGAGAATACCCACTTTACTCCTGTTAATGCGTCTCCATGCATGTATGTTGAAAGTAGTTCTGGTGACCAAGTGAATGGTGCTGCACGTCCTGATGAGTTAATTCCTAAGCACGAGTCTAATTCTGTGGAAGATGTTGACATGGATGCTCCAAAGTCCGGACTGCTTCTCAAAATATATTTTAGAAGTTGAGATCAGACTTTCTGATATTAGAACACTTTCATCTTTTGGGTCATCTCTACATCAATTTTGGGTGCACTCTGAAAGGCAGCTTAAGCAGCTTGAGGATGCCATTAATGTCGAAATTTACAAGATTGCTGAATCTACAGTACTTGGTGACAAACTTCAAGAGAGCAAGGTTCATGAATCTGAACCATATGGAACAGGAAAGATTGCGCTTTTTCCTCTTTCAGAGAATATCCACTTTACTCCTGTTAATGCGTCTCCATACATGTATGTTGAAAGTAGTTATGGTGACCAAGTGAATGGTGCTGCACGTCCTGATGAGTTAATTCCTAAGCACGAGTCTAATTCTGTGGAAGATGTTGACATGGATGTTGACATGGAGGTTGAAGATGCGACTTCTGCGGGCGATACAGCCATTGCTGATGAATCACGTTTGAAGGAGTTTGCTGCACCAGAGCAATCAAATCAGCCCATTCAGCCAGCAGGGCACACATCTATAGACTCACAGGATGCATTTGCTGTACCACCTCCCCCAGATGAGGAGTGGATTCCCCCACCACCCCCAGATAATGAACAGATTCCTCCACCCCCTCCAGACGAACTACCTGAACCTGTTTATCATCTGCCCACATCTTACCTTGAAACGGTGCCACCTGCTCCATATGCAGAACAATACAATTTGTCATATCCAAATTCCGGTTTTGAATATTATGGACATGCAGCTACTGATGCCCAGAGCAGTAACTTTTATGGAAATGCAGAAGGATGTCAAGTTGCTGTTCCTCAAGCACCAATCTACTACAATGCTGTTCCAAACCCTTACACTGAAACTTCTCAGATCACAGCTAATCCCATTGTGCCTGTTGCTTATTATGAGCTCCAAGATGGAGTACCCCCTGCTCCTGGGACTACTATCACAGAATCATCTCAATTTCACAGGAAGCCAACTCCAATTAGCTACGAAACTCTTGCTTCGGATCGTATGGCTTCTGTTGAAGCAGGCAGCAATACTTTTACCACTGAAAAGGGCGGCCGTTCTGCCATTGGTGGTGAGATGGACATGGCATCTAAGGAGGCTCTTCCCACCACAGCCACCATCCAAGCACCTGCAGCTGTTCCAGCAGAAGACAGTGTTGCAGTGCCATCAACTAATGCCATCCCTGCTATTGCCGCTGTTTCTGCTACCTCTACGGTTACAAAAGCTCAATCTAAAGGTAAACTATTATGTTAGCGCGTGGGATTTTTTTCCTTGAATCTTTATCTGGCTGATTTTTTATTTTTCGATACATGTTTATGTATTTGGACTGGCTTGTTTCTTTCTCAGTTGCACGGACTAAAAAGCGGACTGTTGCAGTTGCTTCATCCTTGAGATCGAGTAAGAAAGTGTCCAGTTTGGTAAACAAGGTCTGCATTTTAGCTTCCGCACTAAATTTCCAAAAGTGAGAACTTGTATTTGCACTATGACTACCAAAAACAATTTTTTGCTTTCTTAATCATTTGCTGTTATATTTATTTTACCAGTGGAAGGCAGCAAAAGAAGAATTGCTTGAAGATGAGGAAGAGCCAAAAAATGCTTATGAGATGTTGGAGAGGAAGCGGCAAAGGGAAATAGAGGTCAACCCTTAATTTCCTTTTTAATAGCAATTACAATTTTTTGCTACTTTTGGTCCCCTTACGTTCCTTAGGTTGCAGGAATGGCATGCTCAACAGATTGCCAGTGGAGAGGCCAAAGATAACGCTAATTTTCAGCCGCTGGGAGGTGATTGGTATGACAGTCTAATTAACCACCCGAAGAAGTTAATTTATTAGTCAATCTAAAAATTGTCATCTTCATACTATAAAACAAATATTCACTTGACTTACATTCACATGCCATCTTATAGGAGGGAGCGGGTGAAGCGCAGGAGAGCTCAACAAGCCAGGGAAGCTGCACGAACCTCGCCTGAGGCACATAATGATGAAAACCAGGAGCAGCAGCATCAGCAGCAGCCCAATTTAGCTGAACTTTCCAAAGATCTTCCATCTGGATGGCAGGTTGGTGCATAAGTTTCATCCATGTGCGTGTTTATTTAGGGTTTTGAAAGCAGTATATCTAGGCGTGAATGCATATATTTCGCTATGGGTGCATGTTAAGCTCTAATTTTTGATACCACAAGACTCGGATGTGTTGATCCCTATAGGGCTTATTATTGGTCTCTGTTGTTTTTTCATATCTGACTACTTTTTGTTTTTTGTTTTTGCTTTTGCCTTTAACTGAATTCAGGCATACTGGGATGAATCGTCGAAGCAAGTTTACTATGGCAATGTCGTCACTTCGGAAACTACATGGACCAGACCAACTAAGTAGGCCATCATTGAGATCCTGTAATGAAGCGAGCAAAGAACAAGAAGGCCATGCCTGAAACAGAAAGAAACAAAATTACACAAACCATTCCCACATCATTGAATAGTACTTGCATCATTGAATAGTGCTTTAAGAGGCAGCAACTCGGTGTCGAAAAATCCGTACTTTCAGCGCCGAGCTGCCACCTCCTGAAGCGCTAGTCAAAGATGTCGAATGGTTTATGTACTTATCTTCTTGCTTCTTTTTGGTGTGTCGGGTATTGCTTTACCTCTTGCTATACAGCAAGAGCAGAATTTTGCCCTTATTTCATTTTCATTTTATATATATGAAGGGATGATAGAAGCGATCAGTGACGAAATAATCTTACTTTCTTGCAACGAAATCACTTCTTATTTATAGGTTCTTTTTCCCCCAAATTTTTTTTGTTGTGCGCGCACGCGCATTATAATTTGGTTATGAAATATGCATATATTTTTGACATTGCCTCCAAAGAACTATTTTACCCTGAAGCTTATCATCACTGTTCAAGTGGAACGTTACACAAGCATGTAAACAATTCATAACATTGTTCCCAAAAATTTGAACGCTAGTGAATATTCATCAGTATGGGAAGAAAGAAATCAGACCTTAATTCTCAAGTTATTAATTTGAGTTAAATATCCACACTTGTGTAGATGTCAAAACTGTCTCTGTCTTCTTTTAGGCATCGTTCAGTTTGTTGATTCGAGTTGAAATATGATTTTATGTGAGTTTTAAATTGTAATAAAAAAAGTTATATGTAACTTTTTATTAGAGCTTTTAAATTTTAGCAAAACTGTAATTGAAAACTCAAATCGGTGAAATGAACGAGGTTTTAACTCGACAAGTTCCTACACTCTATCCTTCAAGAAGCCAAGAAAAAGTTGAAACCTGAAAAAGAAGAATCCACTGGACTAGCTGCCCAACCGCCGCCACCTCCACCTCCACCATCTACATCATCACAAGGTGGAAATCTAATCCCACTGTCACCAAGATCGGTAACTTGTCCTAATTGGCTGTATAATTCAATCAACAAAAGATGAACTATTTGAATCCATCTCAAAATTTCAAGAGAAAAAGAGACCCATGAATCGCGACTCGGACATTATTACGCTGCAAATTGCACCAGATTAAGATTTCAAATGGCGGGAAAATAACGAGAGCCCCTAGAAAGCAACCAAGACTAGGAAGGACAGTTTTTGTTTATGCTTGGATTAGCATATGCTCAATACATAACGACATAAAATGTGCACAAGCACTTTTACCCAATGTCAGCGCCCAGCCATGGCTATTACTTGTATTGTGAGTCATTGTTGGGGCCTGATGCGTAACAATTTGGGTTTGCTCCGTGGCACATCGGACATTCTGTAAAGCGGAAAATGAGTGAAGACGAAGACCTTTTTCCTCATGGGAGGATTCATTGAAGTAAATCTAGGACCAGGACCACATGACAGAAAGTATGATGTTAGATACGAAGAAACTCCCACATGATCAGGTCATTATAATATAAATAGCTGGTTTATAAGCTATCGCCCATTGGCTTACAATCCTTAGCAAGCTAGTTTTATAAGGGTTTAGTTTTTCAGAAAGAGATTGATCTAGTTGACTAAAAAAAATTTAACAATCAATAAGATTAGATTCTTATTCACATAATCAGATTACTATATTTTGTAAGTAACTATCATGGAAACTTAACCATTGGAAATCGTCGACATATTTATATATACACATATGATAAATTAGGAACGGACCACCACGCTAGTACTCTACTACACTCCAGAAAAGAAACGAAAGTTAACTTAAAATAAGTGAGTACTGAACTTCTAGGACCCCGTTCTGTCAGTACCCAACACTCACAAGGCCGTTGGGGCGCCATAGCAAATGGAAGAAACATAAAACCCATAGGAACAATTCGCGGTGATTTGTCGGTCTGGAAAATCACTCGTACTTAGTGTCTTGTTGTGAACAAGATATCCTAGTCTTCTGCTAAAAACAAAAGCAACCTTGTCCGCAGTTGCCGCCGTTGCAGTGATGCTGTAACCGTGATCCGACCAAGCGCGGATACTCTCATCCGAAAGGTCCCCATGGAATCGCACATACTGACTAGAGAAGCCTGCGCCCTTAGACACAACAACTGCCCACTTACTTCCTGAAGTGGCCATGGCAGTTATAAAATATCCCCTTTTCTGCATATCCTCAATATAATCGCTTGGAAATGAATCGCTCACTTTATACGTCTGATTTAAAAGCTGGATCCCTTTGGACATTACAACTAATGAACTTCCGTTATCGGCTCCGGCTATTGCAGTTATATGAAAATCCTCGTTCCAATGTTCCTTGATCCATTCGTAGGGAAGGAAATTTGGAGAGAGCTTATAAACTTGATCTGAGAAACCAATTACATCATTCATGATCAAAGCCCAAAGATTGGAACGGGAAGCAACACTTGTGATGAATAACCGGCGACAATCTTGTTTTGCCAACTTAATTCTTTGGAAGACCAACGAATCGTCAACATCCCGATGACATACTTGGTTGAATTTTTCCTGCCATAAATTATAAACACTAATCCATCTCTTTTCCGTGTTGATCGGTCCGTCCTGAGACGTCGTCATCTTCGCAAGAGATAAATATCCCGTATTAGATGTATTAATGATAAAATAACAATAATAATAATGAAGAACAAAGAAACAATATTTACGTACGTCTGCAAGCAGGGAAGAATGCGCATGCACATGCGTTTGGAAAATGTAACTAGTTACTTAAAGTAGATTTACCTCAATAGTAATATGATCCTGAGACTGAGACTGATTGTACTCTTGAAACTGCGCCAGTTGAGGAATGATGGCATGACCCTGAGACTGATTGTAATCTTGCTGCGCCGGTCGTGGAATTATGACATGATCCTGCGACTACTTGTCCTCTTTCAATATCAGTACAGTTCACACCACAACATTAATCTAACGTGGTTCTTTCTAATTCCTATATATCTTAAGCGAAATACTAACGTCACTATTTTTATCATTTTTTAGAATTAACGTGTCAAACAATAAATGCAGTGAATGAGAAAGAAAGTAACAAAAGAATAATGCTATCATTTTGTATTCTTAATTGTCTAATATATATATATATATATATATATATATATATAGTGCTTTTCTGCTCAAAAGGCAAAAGATAGCGTCTCCCTCTCGACTAGGTTTAAACAACTTAAATTCAGACAAGAAAGCGAGAGACAAGCGCACAAACAAAGAGGAAAGGACGCTATGCATTCAAAAGAGAACAGGAAAGAACATGTGTGTCTGGGACTTTAGAACATGTAATAAGTACCGTGTATGCAAGGGGATTTTACCTGAATGCCGACCTGATTCTGGGACGGATTCTTTTGCGGCGGCGGTCCACGATTCCGACCCGATATCAATCTATAAACAATAAAGAAAAGGAAAAGTACCCACAAAACCAAACAGATCCACCCCAAAATGGGAACCATGATGAGAATCAGCAACTCGGAACCAAGCAACCCTAACAAGATGCTGATATTTGTGGCCACCTCTTCGGCGAAACCCTCTAACTTGATGCTTAGTACTACAATCGTGGCATAGATAAAGACATCAATCAGAAAGGCCACCATGGTCGCGTAGTGTTTCTTGAATGGATTTTGTTGCTTCAGCGCAAGGACTGCAACAAAAATGGCAATGAGGGCCAAAACAACGGCGTGCAATGCTATTACCAGGGTAGCTCGTGCACTCGGGAACATTTGGGCTGCGCTGGATTGCAAAATGATTAATCAATTCAATACAGGAGCATTAGAAGTTAACTAAATTAACTTAAAAAAGAAAAAAAAAAAAACATGTTTCAAACTTTTAGTAACAAATTAAACTCGAATACCAACATTTCCATTAAGCGAAATTCTTTGTTTTGCAGCTTTTATTATACGTATAATTTGAAGAGTAGTTGTTGCGACACAGGAATATCACCACCCAAATCTCACAGCTGTTATACATGAGAAAGAGAGATCATCAACTTATAGTAGCTAGCTTGATATGTACAATAATTCTTCTTATAATAATCGGAACCCTGCTTATCATAATAACATATCCAAAAATAACGATACTCACTATAATTATTAACATGTATGAACTAAGTACATTTGGAATAATCACATTATTAATTAGCAGAGGCTCTTAAATAAGACGTTCTCCCGAATAGAACACATTAATCACTAGGAGTCACTAACAAAAAGTTCATAATTATTTAATATATAATAATTGAGAAAATTACAGAATTTACTTTTGAGAATGTATGGGTCTGGGTTTTACCGCTCATTCTTAATTAATACCCTTTTATTAGCATAGTTATTTAAGTAAAAAGGTTATTATTTAAGAGTAAAATGTAAAAATCTTAACCTAGGCAACTTTATGGGGGTTTTTTGTCTCCTTTCTCCTAATTAATTAGCCAAAACATATCAACCAAAGCATAGACCATCACCAATAATTCCCAAATCAAGAATTAAGCAAATATCAATCAATTACAAAACCACAATAACATTGGCGAATATGAATGATAAGTACACAAAAGTGTACTTTGGACACTGCTTAGAATTGAATAAATGTTCAATTAATAGAGTTTTAATTAAAAATTTCAATGATTTTTATTCAAAATATTTTAATTAAAAATGTCTAATTTTTGCTTATTTATTTGCATATTTAAAAAGTAGTACGAAAAGCCATGCAGAGCCATACAAATGAGCTAAGGAAGCCAAATAATGTAAGCCACAAAAGAACTGATATATTGCACGTTGTGTCTTGACTCTTAAAAAAAGTGAAAAGAAGAAGGTACAAAATAAATATTTATTTTTTGTATTTTATGGCTCTTTAATCATTTCTATAATTTTTTGTTGAGAAAATGGTTTCCTATGGTTTTGTACAAACCTATTATATATGTTATTCTAAATAATTGGTTGTAAGAGCCTTTTGTCTTTTTTTTTATTAATTGAATGCTAATTGTTTATTTTTGAGTTGAGTGATGTAAATAATATCTTTTTTACCATTTTGAGTTTTTTTGTTTTTATTTTACTCTTTTTTGCTTGACCTTATTTAAATCCTGAAAGCTACTTTGTGGTACGAATCGTTGAAGATCATATGACCAAAAGGTCAACACCATGGCATGTCTCCACGATTTTATTTTATTTATTTTTTTCTTTATTGGTTACTGTCTCCACGAATTAAGATATACTAGAAGTACCCCAAGCCAGCCGTGCAAAATAGGAACTACGTACAAGCATAAATCATTGTCGATCTAACAAATTAACCTAAAAGGAAGGACCCATTTGATATCAAATTAACCTGGAAACTCATAACAGTA